ATTCAACGAAATTTTCTTTATTTCACGATTATTAAAAAAAGCCGTTTTTATTTGAAATATAATTTATTTTATTTTATTACGATAAACGGCTTCAATTTCCGGACCTTTTCATAATTAATGTATTAATTATAATAAGACGGATCCACGCAGTTCGACGTTGAACTGTGTCGGCATAGACACTGTTCAACTACTTAACCATCACACACACAAACGCACACATAAACACAAACGGATATATATATATATATATATATATATATATATATATATATATATATATATGTGTGTGTGTGTGTGTGTGTGTGTGTGTGTGTATGTATATATATGTATGTGTCTGTGTGTGTAGTACATATTCATTTATTCCGAGTACTTTCGACATGAGCACACTGTCATCATCTCGTTGTTTTTTGTTTTTTTTTAAATATGTATCATATATTTTTTACATGTATATGTATCGGGATGCCAATTTTCTCTCTTCTTTTGATAAGGATACTAAGAAATTTGTTCGCGAATATGAGAGGATTGAAAATAAGTAGACAAAAATTATATATATATATATATATATATATATATATATATATATATATATATTCGTGTCAAAGGCACAAACACTGAAACTGCATGAGGTAATAATTTATTTCATCAGTGTCCAAAAGGCTCCAATTCATCAGACATTCAAATCTGAAAGGAAACAATAGCTCTCCCTGGATTTATATCCTTTTGGAAATATCCATACTGATCACGAACATTTTCATTATATATATATATATATATATATATTAGATAACTTTGACTTTTAAATATCATTTTTATCACGACATCAAAGTTCCGTGATAAAATTTCCAGTCTTCAAGGGTTGTTTTAAACGGTATTTCCAATCTTCAATCTTTATATATATATATATATATATATATATATATATATATATATATATATATATATATATATATATTTGAGGAAGACAAAGGACACAATATTCTAAATTGTAGCTGAAGACAAATGAGGCACTGCTACAAAAAGAGAATAAATGGTTATGTAAGTATAAGTCTACCTCTATGTGCCGGGTCTTTTCAAGTCTTGGACGATTATGCCACTCCACAACTTCCTATACTTTGTAGCTCTTAAGAAGATTTGTCTTTTCTCCATCCCTCTCAGTCCCTGTTCTATCATCCGTTTACGCAATCTGGTCAGGTAGGTGAACCCCGTTTTTTCCTACTGTCACTCTTACTTTTAGTATCTCCCGTGGGTATCAAATTCTTCAAGCCCTCTACCTCGGGTGGCTCTTGGGCCTTGTACAGGGTGAACATTATTGTAAAAAAAGTCCTCCTTCCGTTGATGCGCGCTAGAAATTTCAACTGTCTCTTTGATTTCCTTAAAACTTCCTAGTTACTCACATGTTCAGTCCATGTTATTCTCGGCATTGTTCTGGAGGACCACATTTCTGTTGACTCAACTCTGTTCTTAATCTGTGAAGAGATTGTCCATATAATCTGCCGTATATGAGCACTGATAACGCATAATAGCTCAGCCCTTTTTTCTTTGATTCAAAACTAAATCTACCCCCACCCGTTGTCATATAGGAATAAAGTGTCGGAACGAGGAGACTTACCTCCCGCAAAGCGAATCTGCTTGGCGTGTCGGGTCCTGTTGAAAGATCGCGACCGACATTAAAAGAGAAATGGATTATTCCGAAATTCCCATATCGCGGACAGACGTACAAAAAGGGGTGGGGGAATTAAAAAGACTAAGAATTCAAACCAGCTTGAATTTATAAAACCGGAAGTATCGGCCGAACGAGAAGTAAGTCTCGTATGCAAATTTTAGTTGTCCCCCCGACGCGGGCATAAATAGCAAGTCTGGTAGGACGACGCATTGTTGGCGTGACGGCGTACGTACTAACGAGACTGAGAGAATAAGAGGTCACTAGCGACAGCTCACTTGGTTGACCGGGGGACTGGGCGAAAGCAAGCACTTTAATCCATTTCAGTCATCGCAAGCGACGGGCGAACTGAATTACCCACAGTCGCTTCCGTCACTTAGGTTTGAACATGGATCGCCAGGCAACAAACACAGGCGACCTCATCTTGAAATAATTAGATCACGTGAGGGGTAAAGGAAAATATATATATATATATATATGGGAATTAAGGGCGGCTGACCGAGTAGTGTTCAAAGACGTTACTATTGTTGTATCTGGGATTTACAAAGTCTCTCCTACAAACGGGCATTTCAAAATCCGTGGATAAATTTGTTTCGTATATCACCTGACGAAGATCGGAGCGTACATCAACCGAAACGTCGTGAATATGATGAGGACAACAGTCCGAACAATGAAAATTGTGTTAATATTTACAATACCTCATGTCAGAAATATAGAAAGTTGAAGAAGAAGAAGAAGAAGAAAAAGAAGAAGGATGCGAAGAAGAAGTAGAAGAAGAAGAAGGAGGAGGAGGCGAAGAAGAAGTAGAAGAAGAAGAAGAAGGAGGAGGAGGCGAAGAAGTAGAAGAAGAAGAAGAAGAAAAGAAAAGAAAACAAGTCTATTTTTCTTTAAGAAACTTTTCCATCATTCTAATTTAATGGAAAGTACAAAGATGGCGTACGGTGATAGAAAGGAAAATAAAATCAATTGGTGCCTGGATGAAGTTGCTAAGAATTTATATGAATAAATAATTTTGTGCAAAGGGTTGGTACTATTCCCGTCGGTAAACGCGAAAGTCTGATGGATCATGTGAAAAGAGCTGGAAGGTAATAGAACCTTTCGATCGCCCTTTGTAATGACCAGCCAGAGAGCGGACATCGTTCTTTGATTGGACAGACTCCAGAGAAGCATAATTACCAAACTGACAATTCTCCAGGGATCACATCTGGTATGGATTTATGAAGCCCAAAGGTTGCGGAACTATGATCTGCGGTACAGGTGTGAAAATGGAGATACGTGGAGAGAGAGAGAGAGAGAGAGAGAGAGAGAGAGAGAGAGAGAGAGAGAGAGAGAGAAGGAGAGAGAGTAACGGAGAACAACAAAGAGACGAAGAGGAAATAGAGTAGCAAGAATGAATACAAGTATTATTATTATTATTATTATTATTAGTAGTAGTAGTAGTAGTAGAAGAAGAAGAAGAAGAAGAAGAAGAAGAAGAAGAAGAAGAAGAAGAAGGCGATGAACAAAAAACAAGCGGAAATAGAAGAGGAAGAAAAGTAGAGGCAGCCGTAGTAGAATAGAAATAGAGGCGAAAATAGAAGAGGAGGAAGAAGAAAAAGAGGAAAACGAAGAAGAAACATAAGGAGAATGAAAAGAAGGAGACAGAAAAGAAAAAGAAAGGAAAGAAGAATTAAAATATGAAGCAGAAGAAAAACAAGCAGACGAGATGAAAATGAAAAGAAGAAGAAGAAGAAACAAAAAAAGAAGAAAAAGAACAAGAAAGAAAAAAAAAGGAAAACAGAAGAGGAAGGAGGAGACGAAAAGAAAATAGAAAACGGAGAAGGAGAAAAAGAAGAAGAAAAAGAAAAAGAAGTTTCTACTTCTTTTTCTTTTTCTTCTTCTTTTCATTTTCATCTCAAGAGAGGAATGAGGAGAAAATGAGGAAGCTAAAAAAAAGAAGTTTACGAGAAAAATAGAAAAGGAAGCAGTAGAAGAAGAAGGAAAAGATGGAGAAAAAAGAAAAGAAAAAAGAAAATAGAAAAGGAAGAAGTAGAGGTAAGAGAAGGAGAAGAAGAAAACAGAAGGGGAAATAATGGAAGAATAAGAAAAGGAGTAGCAGCAGCAGTAAAAAAAGAGGAGGAGGAAGAAGAAGAAGAAGAAGAAGAAGAAGAAGAAGAAGAAAAAGGAAAAGAAGAAAAAGAAGCAGTAGAAGAAGAAGAAGAAGAGGAAAAAGAAGAAGAAGAAAAAGAAGAAGGAGAAGAAGGAGAAGCAGAAGAAGCAGAAGAAATTGAAGAAGGAAAAGAAGAATAGGAAAAAGAAAAAAATGAAGCAGAAGAAGAAAAAGGAAGCAGCAACAGTAGAAGAAGAAGAAGAAGAAGAAGAAAAAGCAGAAGAAAAAGAAGCAGAATAATAATAATAATAATAATAATAATAATAATAATAAATACGTTTATGGAGAAAGAAAAGAGAAAAACGAAATAGAACAAGGTATGAGAGAAGAATAAGATAAAGAATGAATGAAATGTGTGAAGAAAAGCAATGAAAGATAAATGTTAAAGAAAGAAGGAAAGAATGAAATGAAGAAAAACGAAAATGATCGCAAAATTGAACTCTCCCAATTCAAGGAATATGAAGATGGGTTTTGGTGATTTCAGCAGATAAAGATGGCGCCAGGGAAATGAAAGTAACGTACGAGAGAGAGAGAGAGAGAGAGTAAGAAAGAAAGCAAGAAAAAGAGAGAGAGTTATAGAGAGAATGACAGAGAAAAAGTTAAAGAAAGAGAATTAGAGAAAGAGAAACAGAGAAGGTGGAGTGAGAGAAGGGGATAAAGCGAGAAAGAGCAAGGACGAAAAAGAGAGAAAGACAAAGGGAGGGAAAGAAAGATAGATAAGACAGAAAGAGAATGAGAAAGAAATTTAGAGAAGGAAAGAGAAAGTGCAAAAATTAAAAAGAAAGACAGATAAAGGGAGAAAGATATATATATATATATATATATATATATGAAGAGAGAGATCAATGAAGAGGATATAAAGAGAAAGAGAGAAAGAGAAAGAGATGGGGTAATAGAGAGATTGGGAGAAAGAGAGAAGAAGAAGAAGAGAGAGAAGGGATAAAGAGAGAAAGAGCAAGGAAGAAAAGAGAGAAAAACAAAGAGTGAACGAGAGGGAAAAAAGATAGATAAGACAGAGACAGTGAGAAAGATAATGAGAGAGAAAGGGAGAGAAAGTGAGAAATATATATATATATATATATATATTAAAAGATGAAAGAAAATCACAATATATATATATATATATATATATATATAGACGGAGAGATATCGATGCATGAGATATAAAGAGAAAGAGAAAGAGAGAAAGGGTTAGAGAGATGGTATAAAAGAGAGAATGGAGGAAGAGAGAAGGAGAGGAAAGAAGGGATAAAGAGAGAAATGGCAATGAATAAGAAGAGAGAAAGACAAATAGAGAGGAAAAGAGATAAAGATAATAAGAAAGTAGGCGGGAGAAAAATAGAGAGAGAAAGAGGGCATAGAAAGGAGAGTTAGAGAGAGAGAGAGAGAGAGAGAAAGAGAGAGAGAGAGAGTGTGTGTGTGTGTGTGTGGACGAGAATCACAAGCAAAAGATGAGTTCTGACATCGAGGCTTGCGACACCAAGTGTGAAATTCTATTAGACATATCCAGTCAACAAAAATTCTACATCAATAAATTCGCTGCCTCCTTCCTCGAAAATGGTCGCCATGCCTGAAAACTATTTGCGAATATTATAGAAGAGCACACATTGAGATTTTAAGGAGGTGACTTCTTTGATTTTATGATTTAAAAGGACAGAAATAAATGCTTTTCACTTGCAGTTCTGTATTCCCTTCTGTTCGTAAATAATGCAGCTATTTAATATTTACTAAAAGTACCCTACCCCGGGATGTGCGTGTAAGGTAACAAATATCGGCGCAGCAAGTGGAATCGGGAAACCTATTTCAAATTCCGTCCCAATCTATGTCTTATGGGAAATATACGAATCCATCCATTCCAAGACATAAGGAAAAAAGCCATGGAGAATCAAACACTCACAAGAGAGACTGAATGCAAGAAATGGCAGATGGAAACAGTAACTTAACGAGTCGGTACGAAATGGATGGCAAATCAGAAACAAGCAGGGATGGCAAAGGCAAAACTTACTTAGAGCAATAAAAGACAGGAAGTTGTGGAGAGCCACGAACAGTCACGTCTAGACAAGACCTGACGCATAAAAGAAAAAGAAAAACATATGGAGATATGAGTTGAGACAAAAAGGGATGGTTAAATGTCAAAAATGACTTAGAGCAATAAAAGTCAGGAAGCTGTGGAGGGCCACGAACGGTCAGTCACATCTAGACAAGACATGACGCATAAAAGAAAAAAGAACAAGCACATGGAAGGCAGAGTTGAGATAAAGAGGGAAGGTTAAGTGTCAAAAGTTACTTAGAGCTATAAAAGACAGGAAGTTGTGAAGAGCCATGACCGGTCACCTCTTGACGAGACATGTCGCATAAAAAAGAAAATGAGGGGCAGAGTATGGATAAAGAGGGATGGTAAAATGTCAAAAGTTAATTAGAGCAATAAAAGACAGGAAGTTGTGAAGAGCCACGACCAGTCACGCTTTGACGTCTTATGTCAAATAAAAGAAGTGTAGTGTATGGACAAAGAGAGATGGTTAAGTGTCAAAAATTACTTAGAGCAATAAAAGTCAGGAAGCTGTGGAGGGCCACGAACGGTCACGTCTAGACAAGACGACGCATAAAAGAAAAAGAACAAACATATGGAGGGCAGAGTAGAGACAAAGAGGGATGGTTAAGAGTCAAAAGTTAAAGCAATATAAAATAAGAAGTTGTGGAGAGCCACGACCGGTCACGTATAGACAAGATATGACGCATAAAAGAACAAACATATGCAGGGCAGAGTAGGGACAATGAGGGATAATTAAGTTTCAAGAGTTACTTAGAGCAAGAATAGATTGGAAGTTGTGGAGAGCCATGACTGCTCACGTCTTGACGTGTTATGTCAAATAATAAGCATATGGAGTGCCGAATAGGGACATAAAGGGATGTTTAAAAGTCAAAAAGTTAGAGCAATAAAAGATAAGAAGCTGTGGAGAGCCATGATCGCGCACGTCTTGACGAGACGTGTCTCATAAAAGAAGATCATCCATAGGGAGGACAGTATCGGGACAAAGAGGGATGGTTAAGTGTCAACAGTTACTGAGACCAACAGAAGACAGGAACTTGTGGAGAGCCAGGATCGTCCACACCCTGAAGGGACACGGCACATAAAAATAGAAAAACGTTCCTTCCTTTTCTAATTATGGCAATAAGCTTGATTTATTCGCCTGTCGTAAATAATATTGCCCTTCAAACGAGACAACATCAAAGAGAGTTCAGCAACTCTTCATCTGTCAAAGAGAGTTCAGCAACTCTTCATCTGTCAAAGAGAGTTCAGCAACTCTTCATCTGTCAAAGAGAGTTCAGCAACTCTTCATCTGTCAAAGAGAGTTCAGCAACTCTTCATCTGTCAAAGAGAGTTCAGCAACTCTTCATCTGTCAAAGAGAGTTCAGCAGTTTGCTGAATAAGTGGCTCAGCACAAATATCTTTTTTATATCGTCTTTTCACAGTCTCTTCTCATTAAATGTAATTATGATTATTACATTCAAATTAGGCATTTAGTGTACTGTGGTGTAATATCAACAGGTGCTAACAGGTGAGCATTGTTAGGACAACGATAGAATATTGGGGCATACTAACGAAACGGGAAGAAAAAAAACCGAGTTCGTGAAAGAGCAGGACGTAACAATAACAGTAGAAAAATATAAAGACTTTCATGTGAAAACCTACTAACAGTAAGCATTTAATAAATTATGCCAAGATTTTTACGTATGGTATTGATATAAGATTCTACTGGGCATAAAATGGAACATTGATTTTTATATTGTTATAAATAATAATAATAATAATAATAATAATAAGACTAATTGAAGGGATTCCTGGAAGTCCATGCCTCAAGGAGATACAAAAAGTTGTTCTGACAAGTACAGCCCACACCTTACGAAGGGCTTTATCTATGTAATTTACTTTTTTTTTGTCAGTGGAAAGTGTCATGACGCCATTTCTAACCTTAGGTCCCTGGGCGGGACCCGGAAAGAAATGTGTAAACGCCAGAAATCAAAGAAAATAAAAATAATAATAATAATAAATGTGGCACATGGGAACATCAACAATCCCTGTTGTAGTTGGAGCCCTAGGATTGATTAGAAAAGAAGAAGAAGATGAAGAAGAAGAAGAAATAGAAAAGAATGTGTAAATTGAAAACAAAAATAGTATCAAGCATAGTAGGTGCGCTTGGAATGATAAAAAAGGAACACAACAACACATTGAAAAAAAATCCCAGCTTAAGAGAAAAACAAAAAAAATTGTCTTGATAAATACAACCAACACTGAGAAGAACATTGTCCATGTAACGCAGGTGATGTTATGGAGTTAAGAAAACAAATCATCTAATGTAACCATAACAACACACCACTTCTTACCTTAGGTCTTTCCGCAGACTTGGTAGTTAGTGTGACCATAGCAGAAATCGAAATATAATTTTTTTACTGAAACCAAGTAGCGTCTCTGGTATGTCTTTTCCGTTTTCCTCATGATCAAAATGGAATAGTCCATTATTTATAAGGTATTGGCAGGGTGTAACGGTCGTGCTAAGAATTCCGACATATTAATCAGTCAATTATATGCCATACGTGATACACACTTAGGCGATCTTGTATCTTTCGATACATGACTGACGAAGCAGATTATTCCCGCAGTAGGTTGCCATATCTTTCTGCGGTAGACCAGTTGCCATCCAAGGCTACAGAATCCGGTATGTCCTGTCCATAGCTGAGGGGAGAAGAAGAGGATTCATACCTTTCCCAAGGGTATTAGCACGTAAGTGAATGTAATGGATTCGACTGGAATTCGAACTCGGCTCTTCGATTTCTCAATCCAATTCGCTATCCATTACTCCGCCGTGCTATATATATATATAGAGTTGTCCTTCTGGACCAGTTGCCATCCAAGGCTATAGAACCCAGTCTGTCCTGCTATTTACCCATAGCTGGAGGGAGAAGAAGAGGATTCATACCTTTCCCAAGGGTATTAGCACGTAGGTGAATGTAATGGATTCGACTGGAATTCGAACTCGGCTCTCCGATTCCTCAATCCAAGCCGCTATCCATTATTCCACCGTGGTTAACTGACATATTAGTAATTGTCTTATGAAATATATTTAAAGATTCACGTGATAAAAAAAATTCTAACAAATTAGGCTGTCATTTTTATTGTATATCAATGGGGGATTTATTATATATTCCTTTTTTGTTAAACTCTCCACCCCGTAAGTTAACTTCGTCCACCGCAAGAAAAGTTGGCTCCCTGTGCCGCGCCAGGAAATTTTTCTCGCCTGAGTCAATCCCTCAAATCTACAAATCAACCATTCGCCCTTACATGGAGTTTTGCTGCCATATATGGTCTGGAGCCCCTTCTGTTTGTCTCAATGTCCTTGATAAAATCCAGAGACGGATATGCAATGTAACTGGCCCTGATCTGGCATCTCGTCTGCAGTCGCTCTCTGGCAGACATGCCGTTGCCTCCCTCTGTCTTTTCTTTTACAAATACTTTCAAGGTAACTGCTCCGATGAGCTGCTTTCGCTGGTTCCCAGACTTCATGAATTTAAGCGCTCGACTAGGCTGGCATCTCGCTCTCAGCCTTTCACTGTCGAAATTGTTAAATGTAACCGTCTCTTCTACTCTAATACCTTCATATCTCGCACTTCTTGCCTGTGGAACTCCCTCCTCTTTTCCTGTTTCCCTGATATCTATAATCTCCAACTATTCAAATGTAATGTCAATCGACATCTCCAGATGCCCTGATCTATCCCCTAACCTTCTCTTCATCCTTTCCTCTATCACTCCTATTTGCTCTCGCTCCAACTCTCTGTAATCCCTTGCGTGCTAGTGGCTTCCCGCCTTGCTTAGGGTGAAAAAAAGAAAAAAAAAGTATTACTTATTGATATAGTAACTGTCAATCCAGAACTTATACTGGGCCATGAGAAAGTAAAAAAAACATTTTACGAATTGAAGATATAAAGATCTAACTAACGCCTTTATCCACTGTGCCTTGTGTCCTTGAGGACATCTGTGTATGAATTTCTGGGTATTATAAACCTAATGTCTTCAGCAACTATTATTTACCAGTGCTCATATTGCAATTTTTGGTGTTATCAATTAATTTTTTTACCAGAGCTCATATTGCAATATAACATCAGGACAATCTTCAAAATCTGATAGATCCAGTGACAGGTCCCAAAGAGTGTGAGTTCAATAGATGATTAAGGCTGTGGAACACTTGGAGAAGGGAATTAACAGGAGATAACTGATAACTGACATCCATTAGACATGGCACGTGGAACTAGAACAGTCTACCCCAGCGAGGGAGATGAAGGGTTCAGTTCGACATTCCAAACAACTGAAGAAGGCTGGACCGTACAACGGCCGAAATGTAGTGATAAATATGGCAACAAAGATGAGGATGATAGTCCGAGCAATGTAAATAGTATATATATATATATATATATATATATATATATAGAGAGAGAGAGAGAGAGAGAGAGAGAGAGAGAGTGTGTGTGTGTGTGTGTGCTTTAATACTCTAGAATATTCAAGATGAATATTCTAGAATTTTCCAATAATGTTATCAGTAATTATTTTAGCCTAAAAAATAAAACATAACATTCTGTAATTGATATTCGTGCAAGAAGGTTATCATCATGGCAAGAGATAAAGAAGTGACAAATTCGCAAAAAGAACTGATTGTTAAGCTCTGGAAAGAAGGTAAAAGTTACAGGAAAATCCCAGACAACCTGACTATTACATTTACTACCATTAATTCATTCATTTCAAGGAATAAAAAACTCACGACTGTTGAAAACCAAAGAAGAACAGGTGCTCCAAGAATATTTCTTCAAGATCTTCGAGGAAATTAATGCGTCAAATTAAACAAAATCCAATGGTTACCCGTCAAGAGTTGCAGGATGATTTGCTTTCATAAGGAATCTGTGTCACTAAATGGACAATAAGCAATGAAATTCATTGGAACAATCTAAAGTCATGCTTCCCTTGGAAAACTCCACTGCTATTGAAAAGACACAGAGATGCCAGGTTGAAATTCGTTCTTGAACATAAGGATAAGGAAAATGGGCAAGAGTATTATGGAGAGACGAAACCAAAATTGAGTCGTTTCCAGGAATCATGTATGAAGAAAAGATGGCGATGCCTTCAAGCAGAACACAATTCCAACAGTGAGATTTGGTGGTCACAGCATCATGGTTTAGAGATGTTTTGCTGCGAAAGTTGCTGGCATCATATCAGTAATAGATAGTAAAATGAATGCCGCAGCATAGCAAAATATTTTGGAAGCAAATTTAATGATTTCGATTGAAAATCTTGAATTTTCTACTGATTAGATCTTCCAACAAGATAATGATCCTAAGCACACTGCAAAATCTACAAAGAAATGGCTTGCTGAAATAATGTAAATATTCTGAAATGGTCGAGTCAGTCCGCAGATTTAAACCCAATCGAAAATCTGTGGAGTTATTTGAAAATTCAAATCCAATCGAGAGCTCTAACAAACGTCATGGATCTGAAGGCCATATGCGAAAAACGGAACAATATACCAACTAAAATTTGTAAATCATTACCTGAGAACTACAGGAAGAGGTTGGTTGCTGTAGAAGTGAATAATGGCTATGCTACAAAGTATTAAATGAAGATTATGAATTTGTTTTTGTATTGTACGAATACTTTTTCACCCATTAAAATGGATAAATGGGATTTATTTCTATTAAATGATTTTTTTTGTTTTCTATGCATATTTAGTTATTATGCATCTGTGTACAGATAATTATATGAAAAGTATGTTTATTCATTATTTGGAAATACAATAAATTAAAAATTGGAATGTGTACGAATATTTGTTTCCCCCCACTATATATATATCTGTGTGTATTGTAATAAAATGAGTTAGATACCAGAATTAAGATAGCGACTGACATGCGCAAACAGATTTAGATAGATAGATAGATAGATAGATAGATAGATAGATAGATAGATAGATAGATATGAACAGACTGAGAGATAGATAGATAGATACCAGCAATCTGAGATAGGCAGACAGAAAGACAGATGTGAATAGACAGAGATGAACAACGATAGATAGATAGATAGATAGATAGATAGATAGATAATGAACAGACTGAGATAGATAGATAGATAGATAGATAGATAGATAATGAACAGACTGAGATAGATAGATAGATAGATAGATAATGAACAGACTGAGATAGATAGATAGATAGATAGATAGATAGATAGATAGATAGATAGATAATGAACAGACTGAGATAGATAGATAGATAGATAGATAGATAGATAGATAGATAGATAGATAATGAACAGACTGAGATAGATAGATAGATAGATAGATAGATAGATAGATAGATAATGAACAGACTGAGATAGATAGATAGATAGATAGATAGATAGATCGATAGACACGAACAGACTGAGATAGATAGATAGATAGATAGATAGATAGATAGATAGATAGATAGATGTGAAGAAAGATAGTTTGAACAGACCAAACACAGATATTAGTACAGATTAAACACACACACACACACACACACACACACACACACATATATATATATATAGAGAGAGAGAGAGAGAGAGAGAGAGAGAGATACAGAGTGACGGAGAAGTGGGAGAGAGAGAAAAAAAATGAACAGATTGATAGATATGAACAGGCTGAGACATAGCACAACGACATTGGAATTTATTCAGTTTTGTCAATCATGGAGTTCGATAGGTAAAATGACATTAATAAAGAAGAGCGAGAGAGAGACAGAGAGAGAGAGACAGACAGAGAGAGAGAGAGAGAGAAAGAGAGAGAGAGAGATAGAGACAGAGAGAGAGAGAGCGAGCGTGTTTTTTGCAAGTGTATGTCAGAGAACTAGAGAAGCAGAGACGGTTGTTTGCAAAGAAGAACTTAAAAGAAGAAATCGTAAATTTAAAATCAAATATCTTTATATTTTTTTTTTATTTAACTGAGATTCCATTTCTCCGTTCCTTCGTCTTTTTCCTCCCATCTTCTTTATTTACCGTTAACCTAATGACAAATTTATTTTTGCATAAACATCGACATGACACTTCTCAAGCCTAAGGCTGCTACAGCAAAATATCTTGCTACGATCGTTCGACTACCGTCCGCCATTTTGAAAATAGCGATATGTTTGGGCGCGAAACGGTTGCAGTCGGTCGTCTGCTTCTGGCCTTTGAGCAAAATAATAAAGAAGTGGTGAAGAGGCAGAGTCGCCTTAAACGATTTATATGTTTCTTATTCCAAAATTCACGTCCTTCAATTTATCGGAGATTCGGTGGTGCGTTAATTTGTTAATTAAATGGGGAAACGCGAGAATTCACAATTCTTCGTATCTATACAGACCCGGATGTAGCCTGAGGGCCATTTCACTTCTTGATCATAGAGTTACGAAATCTGGAAGAAGAAGAAGAAGAAGAAGAAGAAGAAGAAGAAGAAGAAGAAGAAGAAGAAGATATCAAAAGAACAGATGATTGAAATATATACTAGAGTGTGCTGAGAAGTTCTCAGCCTGACCAAGATTGCAATTCAAAATAAATTTTAATGTTTACCCATTTGCTTCTATTTCGCTAAATGGATCGTTTTTTTTTATATACGTTTTTTCTCGCTTCCCCTTGCTATCTCTCACAAAACCAAGTCCTTGTCTTAACTTATTGGACGCATACATACACAGACAAACATACTCACACACAAAAACCACTATCAACACAAAAATCAAAGAAAGATGCCTTCCAAAAGCTAAGCAAAGTATTGAGAAACAGAAAAATTTCGTGAGAAACAAAGAAAACAGTTACGTAATGTCAGTCTTCTAAATTCCAGTGAATGCTGGACAGTTTCCCCGCAGATGAAGAAGACACTTGAAGTGTTGTTCTACAGAAGGATGATGAGAATACCGTGAATCGAAAAATGTAAGCAAATTTTAGAGAGAATGGAAACAAAAAAAAGGACACTTATACTTAACGTCAGAAAGAGACTGTTGAAATTTCTAGGTAAAATAATAATATTAATAACTGCGTATTGATATGGCAGTCCCTGCAGAATGTATCTTTGAAGATCTTCAAAAAGCTATCAAAATACCTTGAAATCGAAATCTTAAAAATATGGCACATGGGAACATCAACAATCTGTGTTGTAGTTGGAGCCCTCGGATTGATTGGAAAAGATTCCACTAGACTAATTGAAGGGATTTCTGGAAGCCCATGTCTTAAAGAAATACAAAAAAATTGTTCTCGCGAGTACAGCCCACATTTTACGAAAGGCTTTGTCTATGTAATTTTTGTTTTCCAGTGGAAAATGTCATGATGCCATTTCTAACCTTAGGTTTCTGTGCGGGACGCGGAATGAAATGAGTACGCATCAGAAATCAAAGGAAATAATAATAATAATAATAATAATAATAATAATAATAATAACTGGTATGAACACCACCCAGACCCGGTTACGGAGATAGGACCTGTTACAATTCTATGGGACTACACAATACACACTGACAGAACAATCAAAGCCAACCGGCCAGATATTGTTATTAAAGACCACAAACAAAAACGATGCCTCCTTATTGATATGGCAGTCCCTGCTGACTGCAATGTATCTTTGAAGATATTCAAAAAGTTGTCAAAATACAAGGACCTTAAAATAGAAATCTCCAAAATGTGGCACATGGGAACATCAACAATCCCTGTTGTAGTTGGAGCCCTAGAACTGGTTGGAAAAGATTGCAGTAGACTAATTGAAGGGATTCCTGGAAGTCCATGGCTCAAGGAGATACAAAAAATTGTTCTGAAAAGTACAGCCCACACTTTACGAAGGGCTTTATCGATGTACTTTTTTTTTTTTTTTTGTCAGTGGAAAGTGTCATGATGCCATTTCTAACCATAGGTCCCTGGGCGGGACCCGGAAAGAAATGTGTAAACGCCATAAATCAAAGGAAATAAAAAGAAAACTGATAATAATAATAAATGGGTGAATACAAGAAAATCACAATACACCTATTGAAGCTGCAAAATACTTAAAAAAGAAAACAAACGCAAATGCAACCGACCAGATATAAAAAACGACAGCAAGATCGACTATCAAAACTCTACACGTACCAAACAAGCTGATGTCGACAAAACCCAGTAGCCATCAGTGGCTATGTCCTGCAGGGTTGAAAGCTGAAACCGAAGGTTTTACCCTTGCTGCACAAGACCAATGCTTGCTAACTAGAAATTATCAAGTACACATATTGAATAAATGTGTTGGCTCAAAATACAGATTCTGTAATAAATATCCAGAAATAATTGACCATCTTGTATCAGGTTGGACGATATTGGCACCCACTGAATATAAAATCCGGCATGACAGGGTAGGTCAATATCTGCACTGGAAAATATGCAACTTCTACGGGAAGGAAACTGTAAGAAATAGGTATGAACACTACTCCGGCCCAGTTACGTAAACGCGAAGACATCGTGATTAGAAACGGCAAAGCCAAAAAGTGCCTTCTCATTGATATGGCAGTCCTTGAAGATCTTCAAAAAGCTATCAAAATAAAGGACCTTGAAACCGAAACCTCAAAAATGTGGCACATGAGAACATCTACAATTCCAGTTGTAGTTGGAGCCCTCGGATTGATTGGAAAAATTTTTAATAGACTCATGAAGGAATCCCTGGTAGCCCATGCCTTAAAGAAATACAAAAAATATTGTACTCGTGAGTACAGCCCACATCTTATGAATGGCTTTATCTATGTAAAATATGTGATTTTGTTTTTTTAGAGGAAAATGTCATGATGCTATTTCTGATCTTAGGTCTCTGGTCGGGACCCGGAAAGAAATGAGTACACACCAGAAATCAAAGGAAATAATAATAATAATAATAATAATAATAATAATAATAATAATAATAATAAAAAAGATGGAGAAGAATCGTAAAATATATTAGTAATGTGTTTATTATTTCCCTTCATTCACCAAAAATACAGCAGAGCTCGATGCACGGACTCATAGCCAGTGCAAGGATCCCTTGACCACCCCCACTGACTCTATGATATGGGTACACACTCTGACCTTTTTTTCATATATGGATGCACTGAAAAAAACACTCCTTACTCAATATTCCTAGTTGTATCCTTTTGTGACAAAGTTCTTTTGATCTCATCCCACTTAGTGTTAAATTAGTTTAAAATCAAATAGCACGGAAGACGGCTGATAGGGCACAGAAGACTAATGTCGTATTTAACCCGTTTAAAAAAAAAACAAATTCATGGATTAGGACGATCCCTTTTGATAGACGTAAAAATCCGCGACAACTTTTTATCCTTTATTTTGTGATGCCAATGAACACTCGTTGTCACTTTTGTGATGTCAACGAATACTCGTTGTCACTTTCATAATGCTCGTTGTAGTAGAGACTTTGTAATCGCAGATACAATAATAATAACGCCGTTGAACAATGCTGGTGCCAGACGACTTCGAATATCCCTCGCACTAATAGTACTTGCTCGATAATACCCGCTTGAATCATAATCCGTATCGTGATCCGAATAGAGAAATAGTATAGTGAATAGAGTAGAGAATAGCGTACCATATAATAATAGAGGATAGATTAGAAATAGTGATCAACTAGACGCCACGCTAATTCACATAAATATACATTTCCTTACCATCACGTGATCTACTTATTCAAAATGGGATCGCCAGTATTTTCACTCTGGCGATCTGTGTTCAAACTGTCGGTAGCGACACTTTATTCCTATATAACTTTAATAGTCAGTTGTTTGTAAGGTACATAAATGTAGGTACAAAAAGCAAATGTAGATAAGATAACGGGGGTCACAAAGGGGTCCGGGGGGGTAGTAGGCACAGGTTCTGCACGGGATCACCAGATGATATTTGCAGTGCAACGATGTTTTGTTCACCCATCTGAATTGATCAAGAAAATAAACTGAAAACATTTCATGATATGATTAAATATGGTTCCGTAAACAGTCGAAGCTAAACAGAATAAGAATAAAAAAAAGAATATTAAAGTGAATCGAACGAATTAATCAAAACAGTTTTGAGTGCAAACCCTGAGCACGTAAAAGCGCCTGCGCCTGCGCATGCGTACACAAAAAGGCAATCGCGAGGTGTAGTAGTTATTGTAGTTATAGAAAAGACATTCGGGAAGGGGGAAAAAGTATTAAAAAAAGAATGAAAATTAATGAAAGAAAAAGAGAAAGAAAAAAATAATCTAATTGTTAATATGGTGTACAATGGGGAAGATTATGCAAAAAAAAAGAAGCAATATTGAATACAGAAAGGGAAAGAGAAGTAGAAAACGAAAAACGATAGAGAGAGAGAAATAGAAAGAGAGAGTGGGGACGGAAAGAGAAATAGAGAGTAAACGAAGAGAATGATGTCGATAATGAAAACTTAATTTAAAAAGACGAAGTAAAAAGGAGGAGGAAGAAGAAGAAGAAGAAGAAGAAGAAGAAGAAGAAGAAGAAGATGGATGAGTAGAAGAAGAAGGAGAAGCAGCAGCAGATGGATGAGTAGTAGTAGTAGTATTAGTAGTAGTAGAAGAAAAAGAAGAAGGAGGAGGAGAAGCAGCAGTATATGGCTGAGTAGTAGTAGTAGCAATAGTAGTGATAGTATTAGAAGAAGAAGAAGAAGAAGAAGAAGAAGAAGAAGAAGAAGAAGTAGATAGACGAGGAGAAGAAGAAGAAGAAGAAGAAGGAGGAGGAGGAGAAGCAGCAGTATATGGCTGAGTAGTAGTAGTAGCAATAGTAGTAATAGTATTAGAAGAAGAAGAAGAAGAAGAAGAAGAAGAAGAAGAAGAAGATAGACGAGGAGAAGAAGAAGAAGAAGAAGAAGAAGAAGAAGAAGAAGAAGAAGAAGATGGAGGGGGAGAAGAAGAAATATTAAATTGTTTTCATTCTACTTTAGCTAAGAAGGCTTTATCAGTTTTATTGCAAATTTCTACTTATTTATGTGAATTAGGCTTCTCAACTTTAAATAACATCAAAAATAAGAAGCGAGAAAGACTGCGCTCAACTGAACAAGAAATGAGGGTCTGCTTATGGAACATTAGAAATCGTGAAAAACTCCAAGCACAAGTTTGTACTAAATAAATTACACAAATAGTTGAATAGAAACATTGAAATAAAGTTCACATTCGTGGATATATTTTTTAATCTATGGTTTTATTTCATAATATTTAAATGTATAGCCTTTAAAAAAATGTGTACTGTGATATTTTCATTTGATCCAAGGTTTGCCTTGATATTTTCATTTGCAACGAATGCAACGAACTCAATTGGCTTTCGAACTCGGCCCTTCAGCTTCACCTTGCTCCACTTTATCAGATGAAATGACATTGGAGGTTTTGGCGCCATACAGATGTTAACTATATTTGGAGAAAGAAATGAGTGCTGTAGATCCAAAACAACACCCCAACCCTCATAGTGTAATGGTGTCAGGAATATTGTGGAAATTCTTCAATAATTCCGGAACAGGGAATTTTGGAAAGATGGAATGGATGTTGGCGATCATGGCCCTCTACATCATCCTGTAGAAGATATACATAAATATATATGTATATATATTTATTTTGAGGTGTATGAAGAAAAATTTGGAAAAAAACAAACAAAAATCCTTAAATGCAATTATGTTGTTTAAAATGAATGAAATGTCGACGTCTGATATTTCGGTTTAATAAACCTTTTTCAAGACAATATTCATTAAAATACAATTCAGTTCAATTTGACAAAGACGATGGACATAAACAACAAGTCTTATCCAAAACAGATAACTGAAAATTTTTAAAATGATCAGCTTTGCATTTAAGGATTTTTGTTTGTTTTTTTCCAAATTTCTCTTCATTCTGTCGGATCTATATCCATTTACATTACACACACACACACACACACACACACACACACACACACACACATATATATATATATATATATATATATATATATATAATTATTTTGTGGTATATATATATATATTAAATTAATATATATATATATATATATATATATATATTAATTTAATTTAAATTAAAAAGGGTCCATTGATTATATTTTATTTGCCAGGAAAGTGATTTTTCCTTATTTCATTACCTAACTAACTAACTTTCTCTTTCTCTTTCTTTCTCTCTCTCTCTCTCTCTCTCTCTATATATATATATATATATATATATATATATATATATATATATATATATATTTACATTGCTCGGACTATCATCCTCATCTTTGTTGCCATATTTATAATTATAATTATTATTATTATGGAATTTTCCACTTAGGTTAAAATTAAATAAAATAATAACCGCTGTTCCTTTGTCCGTCGTTTTTAACGAAACTTGTATAAAAGAAGGATTGCTGCCAAATACACAATACATGAATACACACACACACACACACACACACACACACACACACACACACACACACACATATATATATATATATATATGAATGAATAATAAAAATATCTTTTTACCTCATGTGGGGATCAGTTTTAATATTTTCATATTACTAGGATCCACTCGGATTATGTAATCACGGATTTATTTTACCTCTCTCTCTCTCTCTCTCTCTCTCTCTCTATATATATATATATATATATATATATATATATATATATATATATATATATATAAAGAAATATGTTGTAGTGGTTCCAACGAGAGAAAAGTATGTATATTAAAAAGAAGAGGGGTGCCGCAAACGTTTTTGGTTGCAATGTGGATTTATTGAGAAAAAATATTATACTTTGTTTTACATAATTTCACGACACTGAACAACAGGGTCTCCCTACACAAAAGCAATATAAAATTGACAGACAACAGAAAACTTTTTGTATCACAACACATTTTCAAATGTAACCAGGGTAAGTTTAATATCATGCCGATATATCAAACAGACAATTACTCGTATCTACAAATACAGGAAAAAACTTTATAGACAAATTCAAACCCGAACTGAATAGATCGTAACCCCCCAAAAAAAAAAAAAAAAAAAAAAAAAACATGCACACAGGGTGACCAAATACAATGATCGCTCACATACATGGACGCACACTCATATACGGGAGACACGAGGAGATATATATATGTGTATGTACACATACATACATTTATGTATGTATATGCGGATGTTGACAACTTAAGAAGTACGTGTGTGTGTGTGTGTGTGTGTGTGTGTGTGTGTGTGTGTGTGTGTGTGTGTGTACTGGTTCCATGTAGCTTGGGAAATATGTGTGTATATGTGTGTGTGTACTGACTACTTGTGGTGGGATAGTGTGTATGTGCGTATGTGTGTGTATGCGTGTATAAGTACAAATAAGTTTACGAATTCCTCGTAGTAAGGAAATATACGCACGCATATATACACGCATGCTGACAGGAACACGCCAAAATAGAAACAGATCCAAGAGCACATAGAGGTCACTAAAACATTAAAAGATTAAATACCGATAACTACTCGCTGGACAAACCTTAATTGTTTTATGACCCTTCACGCAGAACTCTTCATTGACAATTCTAGAAAGAAAATTCGGATTGCCAACACACAAACAGAATGTCTCATATCGAGAATATTCCACATTGAACATGAAGAAAAATTAATTATTTTTAATAATATGTAAAATCTCCACTTTCACCTGAAGACGGTTGTGAGACCAGACCAGAAACACGTGTCGTGAAATTATGTAAAACAAAGTATAATATTTTTTCTCAATAAATCCACATTGCAACCAAAAAACGTTTGCGGCACCCTCTTCTTTTTAATATATATATATATATATATATATATATATATATATATATATATATATATATATATGACAGTGTATGTATATATAGTGCTTAATCTTGTCAATAAGTTTTCATATATGAGTTTTTCAAATTGTTTTAATGCTGTACTTTGCTCTTTCACGGATTCAGTCCTTTTAATTCCGCTAGTGCTAGGGAGATAATCTTATATATATTGCAGACAAAAGTCAAATGATTTATTATAAATAGTAAGAGAACTTTTTTTTTTTTAGTGATGCTTGTCATACTAAGCTTGCGGAATTCTGATCAATTCTGGATACTCCATTGATCCGGCCTGTGTCAAACTCATTTCGATGCAATGTCGATCTACTGCGACTGAAAAATGGAGTAAAAAGAGAAGCCATTCTGATTCAAAGTGAATCTCATTAAAAGAAATCGAGACAGAAGAACAAGGAAAGAAAGACATTAGTAAAAAAAGAAAAGAAAAAAAAACAAACAAAAAGGATATTTTTTTTAGCAATGGAGTCGATTGCATTAAAGAATTTCTTCCTAATCTGCTTGTCCGCCATTTTGCTTTTGAACCACGTTTTCGCTTCTCCGAATTTCGAATTGATATTTCAGCAGATTTTTTTTTAAAATATTTCTCCGAGCTTATTACCCTCAACCAGGTGATTTTCTATTTTATTTTTCCTTTCTTTTATTCGTTTCTTTTTTTTTTCTCTCTTCTTTTCATTTCTACATTCTAATCAGATTATGTCTTTTCTGAAGTATCTTATGGGTCTTAATGTGTTTATAAGATTATATTTTATACTTTCTACGTTGCATATTAGGCGTGTGCAGAAGTTTCCAGCATTTTTTTTATTATTAAAATGTTTTATAGTGTGTATTCAGTCTCCTGTTTTCGAAAAAAAGAGAGGCACTGAGAACATTTACACACACTTTATATATATATATATATATATATATATATATATATATATATATATATATATATATATATATATATATATATATATATATATATATATATATATATAATACAAAGAAGAAAACGTATTTCATATTGCATTTCATATTGTACTTTTTCAGATTTACACTCTCTTAAAATTTTACACACACACACACACACACACACACACACACACACACACACACACACACACATATATATATATATATATATATATATATATATATATATATATATATATATATATATATATATATATATATATATATATGGTGGCACGGTGGAGTAATGGATAGAGACTTGGATTGAAGAATCGGAGAGCTGAGTTCGAATTCAAGTCGAATCCATTACTATCCACTGTGCCATATGTCATCAAGGACAGTGGATAAAGAGCATTAGTTAGATCCAGTGACAGGACATATATACCCGGTTAAGGCAGTGGAGAACCTTCAGAGGGAAATTAACAGGAGATAACTAACATCCATCAAGCATGGCACGTGAAACTAGAACAGTCTACCCCAGTGAGCAAAATAAAGGGTTCAGTTCGGCATTCCAGCCACCTGAAGAAGGCCGGAGCGTACAACGTCCGAAACGTTGTAATAAATATGGCGACAAAGATGAGGACAATAGTTCGAATAATGTAAATAATGTACATAATACCTCACCTCAGAAATATATAGGTATAAAAAAGAAAGGTATAAGCAGAGGACGTGATTGGTGTATTTCTGTTATACGGGAACATACCTATCCTATTGTTAATAGACTCTTCCACATATAATAAGTAGTAGTAGGAGTGGATTTGGTCAGTCAGTCGATGTCGGACTTTAAAGTATCAACCACCACAACTAGATTGCTGCGTCATTAACTCTTATTTCAAGTTCCTAACGTTTTGTACATCGAACCCTTTTAGGACCGACTTAGTGAAATACAAGCCTCCACTGTGAAAACTACTCTACAAAATTTCCGAACCAGCAAGTCTTGAGGAATGCTCAAGTTAGTGGTGAAGCATACACATCGGACATTAGTGCAATAAGTAGACACCTGCCGATTATTAAGAATTACATTGTCAAGATTCGTCGATACATGAAGAGATCTTTTCCGACAGGGGCTGAAGATCTTTCTCGACAGGGGCTGAAGATCGTTCCGCAGTGGCTGAAAGGTCGTAGACCACTAACTACAGATTGCTTTAATCAAGACGAAAGAAGGAAACCGCCAGGGAATACAGTTCATGCGAATGCGACGATCACACGATACACAAACTCATTTATTGGCGTTTCAATACCAACTGTCTAAATTCAAGCAATAGTTTCTGTTCTTGCATGCTCTGTAAGGCGTTTCATTTCCGACCATGTAAATTCAAATAAGAGTTTCTGCTTCTTTATGCTCTGTAAGGCATTTCATTTCCGACCATGTAAATTCAAATAAGAGTTTGTGCTTCTTAATGCGCTGTAAGGCGTTTCATTTCCGACCATGTAAATTCAAGTAAGAGATTCTACTTCTTTATGCACTGTAAGGCATTTAATTTCCGACCATGTTAATTCAAATAAGAGTTTCTACTTCTTTATGCGCTGTAAGGCGTTTCATTTCCGACCATGTAAATACAAATAGGAGTTTCTACTTCTTTATGCTCTGTAAGGCATTTCAGTTCCGATCATGTAAACTCAGGAGTTTCTACTTCTTTATGCGTTTTAAGGCATTTCATTTTTGACCATGTAAATTCAAATAAGAATTTCTTCTTCTTTATGCACTGTAAGGCATTTCATTTCCTACCATGTAAATTCAAATAAGAGTTTCTGCTTCTTTATGCTCTGTAAGGCATTTCATTTCAGACCATGTAAATTCAAATAAGAGTTTGGGCTTCTGTATGCGCTGTAAGGCGTTTCATTTCCGACCATGTAAATTCAAGTAAGAGTTTCTACTTCTTTATGCTCTGTAAGGCATTTCATTTCCGACCATGTAAATTCAAGTAAGAGTTTCTGTTTCTTTATGCTCTGTAAGGCATTTCATTTCCAACCATGAAAATTCAAATAAGCGTTTCTACTTCTTTATGCGCTGTATGGCGTTTCATTTCTGACCATGTAAATACAAATAAGAGTTTCTACTTCTTTATGCTCATTAAGGCATTTCATTTCCGATCATGTAAACTCAGGTAAGATTTTCTACTTCTTTATGCGTTGTAAGGCATTTCATTTCCGAACATGTAAACTCAAATAAGAGTTTCTGTTTCTTTATGCTCTGTAAGGCATTTCATTTCCGATCATGTAAACTCAAGTAAGAGTTTCTACTTCTTTATACGATGTAAGGCTTTTCATTTCTGACCATGTACATTCAAATAAGAGTTTCTACTTCTTTATGCGCTGTTAGGCGTTTTATTTCCGACCATGTCAATTCAAATAAGAGTTTCTACTTCTTTATGCTCTGTAAGGCATTTCATTTCCGACCATGTAATTTCAAATAAGAGTTTCTACTTCTTTATGCTTTGTAAGGCATTTCATTTCCGATCATGTAAACTCAAGTAAGAGGTTCTACTTCTTTATGAGTTTGAAGGCATTTCATTTCCGACCATGTAAATTCAAGTAAGAGTTTCTACTTCTTTATGCGCTGTAAGGCGTTTTATTTCCGACCATGTAAATTCAAATAAGAGTTTCTACTTCTTTATGCGCTGTAAGGCGTTTCATTTCCGACCATGTAAATTTAAATAAGAGTTTCTACTTCTTTATGCTCTGTAAGGCATTACATTTCCGACCATGTAAACTCAAATAAGAGTTTCTACGTCTTCATACGCTGTAAGGCGTTTTATTTCCGACCAAGTAAATTCAAATAAGAGTTTCTACTTCTTTATGCTCTGTAACGTATTTCATTTCTGACCATGTAAATTCAAGTAAGACTTTCTACTTCTTTATGCGCTGTAAGGCGTTTCATTTCCGACCATGTAAATTAAAATAAGAGTTTCTACATCTTTATGCACTGTAAGGCGTTTCATTTCCGACCATGTAAATTCAAATAAGAGTTTCTGCTTCTTTATGCTTTGTAAGTCTTTTCATTTCTGACCATGTAAACTCAAATAAGAGTTTCTACTTCTTTATGCTCTGTAAGGCATTTCATTTCCGACCATGTAAATTCAAATAAGAGTTTCTGTTTCTTTATGCTCTGTCGGACGTTTTATTTCCGACCATGTAAATTCAAATAAGAGTTTCTACTTCTCCTAGGTGTTTCATTGCAGACTGTATATGTCCAAGTAAGAGTTCATCATTTGCTAATTGCAGGAGGGCATTTCATTATGGAATGTGTTACTTCAAGTAATAGATTCTCTTCTTTTTTAAGTAAAGTCGCTTCTGTTTTGTTGTCAAGTTATGTCAAGGCCGCGCAGTCAGTTCTTGAGTTTCTCAAAATTACTTGATAGTTTCCGGACAGACCAC